CTCCCCCCCCCCGAAAAACAAACAGCCTGATCCTAAGAATTACTGGCCTTATTTTCTGGATGTGAAATAGTCAACAATAAATTGTATATAAAGGGCATACATTAGACTCCACTTTCGTGGTAATTTCTGAAGAACTTCGTAGTGAAATTACATTGTTGTCTGCTCTTCAGTACATTTATACGTCACGATAATGATAATGTATCTGCTTAAAGCACTTGACTCAGAACACATCTGAGTCACAAATCACAGATTTTATTGCTATTACTGTATGTTGAGGACTTGTACAATTAAACATTGTCAAGTATTTATGATTTACATGCTACTACTTCAATTGGAAAACAATTACACAAGTGATGGCTCTGCTTATTATAATCAGCCTGCAATTCTGCATTACTTACTGTAGAACAGAAAAGTCATACAGTTGTTTACAGTGCACAGCAGAAAGAAAACCAGGATTTTTTACATAAACTAGTTTTCTACTTTCACAGTATCTTTTTGTAATTAAGAAATGAGGAGTACAGCTCCCTACAGCTCTCATCTCCATTGTTCATTACCCAAAACAACACCATTACAAGATTTTTTTACTGCCTCCACAGTGCATAACCACAAGTAAAAGTTGCACAGTAAAAATACACATTCATATAGAACTGCAAAGAACTTTCCTTACCTCAGACATTCTTACTGTGCTTATGTTTCCAGAGCTATAAAACAGTTTCCCATTCCCTCAGTGAGTTGTACAAAGAAGTACTGGAAACACTCCTGCCTGTACAAGTACTAAGGCAGAACCATCACACGCCTCTTTACTCTTGTCTGACTCTGAGCACCTCAAGGTCTGATGTATGCTCAGGCTGTGCACAGGGGAGTGAAATAAGATCCTCCCCCTTGGTGTTCTCCAGACCTACAGTACGAAGTTGTGTCTGCCTCTCACCTCTGCAGCCAGCTCTCACCTCGCTGCCCCGGAGTGCGGTGCTCCGGCGCGCTCCTCCAGTCGCAGGGCAGTCCCCTCACAGCTGGCTTGAAGAGGGCATGACACTCATCTTTCACAGAGATTTGATCAAAAGGAGTCACAGAGGCTTGAGGCGCTCCTAATGCAGTGCGAGGAGATTCTACCTCTGCTCTGGCAGCCTAAGTAATGCGTTAAATCAATGCAGCTGACCTAAGGCCTATTACAGGGGTTTTTTTTTCCCTTCTCAGAGTGTACGACTATCTGCAAATAAGCTCTGAGGTACTTATGATTAAAATTACTTATTTTTAGCGTCAGAGTGTTGTTTTCAAATTGCAGCTGCTGTGGATTTTTTTTTTCCCTTTTGAACATTTGCAGGTCTTAAAGGTTCACCGAGTGGGGTGTGTATTTTTTAAAGTTAAAACATTTCCCCCTATCAACTTACTTCTGAGTTAGGGCTGAATTTTATTTCTTTTTATGAAGTTGAAGCTTCCTATTAAGAGAAATACAGGTCATAAAGACAGGAGAAGAATTACTTTCCAGTAATTGGGGCAAAATCTGGTTTCAGTTATTCAGGTGTTGGGTTGCATTCATGAGTTAGAGCAGGGTTTTTGTCATAGTCATTTCTCACCTATTTAAAAAAACACAAAACAAAAACAAAACCCCAAACAAAACACTTCTCCCCTCCTCTCTACTCTACTTTTGCCTCCTGTAGATAATTTCTTGGCACTCTGCTAACCCAGGAATACACTGTACTATGCCCAGAGATAGACATGAGCAAGTCACATTGAACTCAGTGGGAATCCTTGCAGGGACATACCAGGACAATATTTGACCAGATGAATTACCTGTAATCCCGTAGGAAAGGCAGCAGGAAGTAAGATGGCTGTAGGGAGAAGACAGCTAACGTATTATTATTGTTGGTTAATTTGTTGTCTTCTAATCCTATTTACTATTTGCTAGATACATGCACAATGCTTAAGGAGAGAACCTAATTGACATTTTACTAAATACTGGAGTACAGTTAATGTTTACTCCATGGCCGTAGCTGGAACCAGGGCAGGATAAAGCCCATGCACTACCAGAATCTGCTCCCATAGAGCACGACATGAAGCATATGCTTTCCCTAAATCCCTAGTTTTCTCCACCCTTATTTCTCCCACTGAGCTATTGAACAACACTGAAAAACAGAGAGGGGGATTTAGTTTCATAGTACGGTCTGGTAGACACTTCTGCCAAAACACACTGAAGTATGAGAAGAGTCAACCACTGATGGCAGCTCGGTCCTTCCCCAGCAGAGCTCTACACGGGGGCTCCAGTGCCCCCTCTGCCCCCCACAACATGCCGGGGCACTTCCCTTTCAGGTACCCAGGACAGTTACGCACAGATTATCAGCAGTCTTGTAAGCTGTAGGAAAAGTGCCTGAGAAGTCATGGCCATCATCGTGCTATTTGAGGTGATTCTTAATAGCAGTGTTTTAAAAGCATACGTTCCGTGAAGAGGACAAAACCTCACTGCTCTCTCATGATGATAACTCAAAGCCAAAGGCACACCTTGTTACTAAAAATCATACTTCCTTCTTAATGAAATAAGCAGCAATGTAACTAAAAAGGACTCTACCTGATTGAGAATTCTGCAACGAAAAGTGGGAAGAGTGGCTTAAGATTACATGAACTGCCAGAAGCTCTGAATTGACTTCAAAATGATAAGTGACTAAAACTTAGCTGTGTGGAGAGCTGCTCTCCCCTCTAGCCACTTCCCAGGGAAAACCTATTTACTAGCTATCTGCCATTTGCCTGGAAGACGATAATTCTTATTAAATAGGCTAACTATCCATAGCAAACATTTTAAGACCAATTTATTTTTTTCTTAATTATCTAATAACAGTGTTTTATTTTAAGCATTATTTTCATTATTTGAGCTTTTTCAATGAATATTTTATGGGAACATATTCATGCCTTGCTCTTTTTAAACTATTCACTATTACTGATGAGCAATTTTTCAGCGTTTTACTATCTGTGCACGTTTAAGTAAAATCCAACGGTCTCCGGCATAATATGACATGTGCGAGGCACAGTTTCTATCTACAGGTCAACTTTTAAAGGAATACTGGCACATTAATAGCATTTTCAGTAATTTCAGCTGATTCATAGTTCAAGCTTGCTCGTACGGAACAGTTATCAAGACGTGTCTTGAAGAATGACCAAAATGGAAACCAGAGGGTGACTCCCATAACTCCTCTTCCAGCAGTAAAATCTAATGGAAAAACAGCTTCTCGTGGAAAGAAACAGGCATCGGGACAGGGCACCAGGCTTGAGCCAGAGGTCTTGAGCTTCATTTGGGGCTCTGCCACTGAGTTGCTATTTGACCTTGGGCAAGTCATTTCAATTCTGATTTCTATTTCCTTGCTTCTGAATTTTTTTTTTTAAATCCATTTGAGTTGTAAGCTCCTTGAGAAAACCATGGTGTCTTACTGTTTTCTCAGGGACAGTGCTGAGGGCAAAGGAAAGGGGTCCCCAGGTCTGAACTCCATGTAAGTCGTAACGTAAATACCTAGAATCACGGTCTAACACTGCAGCCCAAGGAAAGCTGTTTTCTCCTCCCACCTGCCCCAGCCTGTTTCTTCTTCTCCGTGTCTCAGCCTGTGTGTTCAGAGCAGCATGAAAGTAGGGGGAGGTAGGGCAGATTGTGAAGTGCTAAAACTACTTAACAAAATACACGAGTATTCATAGTTTTGAGAAGAGCTCCAACACGTAGAACTCACTATAAACAAAAAGCTGTTGCTCTTCCCTGATTTTATTATCTAGGATGCTTAAAAAATGGGTATTAAGCCTAGTGAATCACTACAATTGAGCCAGTGTGATACAGCACAAAAGCTCAACACAATCCCCAGGAAAAGACTTCCCCTAACTTTTAAATTTCAGTCATGACCTGAATTTTGGTGTTTGAGTCCAAAAAGAAAAAAAAAAAATCATTCTAAAAAGAATATCAATAAACTAATCAAGCACCGACTAACTGTTAGGATTAGGTGTGGTCTTTGCTGCTGCATTCTCTAGGCAAACAGGCACGTAACTTCCCCAACCGCACGGTGCCTGCTTCACGCTTCTACCAGAGTTAGCTGCAAAACGGTGTTAACCTCCATGTCCTGCCTGCTTGGCCTAAATTCCAAACACATAATACACTATGTCCCTCTTACTTAAATCAGTGCTGGCAAAGATCTTAGCGCTAATTTAATGTTCTGTTCACTTATTGCCTCGGAGAAATGTGTGGATTAAACATTTCACATCTCAGAAGACATATGAAGTAATGGTCATACATGATGGCACTGGGTCACCTTTCAGGGAGAAAAGCCAACAGGAATAAGAATTGCTGTCCAGGACTGAAGGGACACAAGATTTTGGGGAGGTAGGAGGGGAAAGAGAAAACAGACCTTGAAAAGGAGGAGGTCCTGTGAGCAAGACCGTAAACACAGCTGTGGGTTTCAGGCAACTTGCAAGCCCCGTGGTTTTTAAAATTTAACAAACTTTTGCACATGAAGATGAAAATAGTTTTAAACTTAGTGTGCTGCAGCATAGGTTTTGAGCACTAGTCAAACTACAAATAAGCCTGCTAAAGCCATAAAGTACTTGATGAAGTTCCTTAAAATCTGTGGAAGGTCAGGTAGGGTACCCCAGTTCTCATTGAAGCAACAGAGAACCCAAAATCTCTTATTTGGTATTTCCAGGTAGGCTGATTTTGTAAGGTGGCCCAAGCAGATAATACTGAGCTATAAAGTGTCCAAAACTGTTTTGCCCTAACAGTTTAAACAGAGTTCAAATGCTGATCCCTGTCTTGCTATTTACATCCCCTTCAGCGCAATTAGACAAAAAGAACCCAACCAAAAAAAGAAGTTTTATTTAATACTACTGCATTTGCACCCCGATTCAGCACTAATTTTCACCTAACTGTTCACTGCATGACTTTCTTCTGTAGCTCAAAATGGCATTGAAGTTAAATGAGCAGTGGCCATTACAAAATGCTAATATTTAAAGTAGTGCATATGGCAGACCCAGAAAGACATCATCAATACCAGACCGTACCACTGATCCATCCCTGTGAAACACTGCCTCTCCACTGAAACGGTCACTAGGATCAAGAAACCCTGCAGTTAACGATTATGAGAAGACCTGCCCGAATAGTAAGTTTCTTTTAAACATTTATTAATTATTGCTTTATGCCACAATGTATTTGTCTTTGAAAGATTTGATTCTATAAAAGTTTGCCATCTAATATTGTTTGCTTTTTTAAAATTACATCCTTTTCCAAGGCCAATTTCTCAGCACGAGTGGTACCATATTTATACAACATAACTTAATTATGCATTGCACAGAAAAAGCTTTTTAATATACTGGTTTTAAAACACGTTGCTTTAAAATGTGAAACAGAATAAACCAAAGGACTTGGTTTGACTTCTCTGTGCTGATCACTACTTTTGTTCATGTCATCTCTTATTAATCTCTTCACTAACTGAGGTGGTCCTGTTGACGATCCTCCTACCAAAGCCTTCCCCTGCTTCCAATGATTTCTAAAATTGTGTATTTTGCTTCTCCAATTTTCATTCTTCATTCTTTGCTTAAATATTTTTGGAGATGTCTTAGGATCACCAGAAGGGATATGCTGCCCCACTTGACTATTTTATAGCATCAGCTATACTTTAAATGTTACTCTATTCCACTCTTGTGCTTTCAAGCGTTTTAGTTTTCTCCCTTTAATGCTGTTTTGCACTGAGCAGGAGACACAACTTTTAGCATATACTTGATGACAAACAGATAAATACAGCATTTTCTCTCTCCTAATGAAAGCAACAGAGTTAATTCATTGTTCATATAT